TTTACCCGTTTCCAGCCTCTACCCAAAAAGTTTAGGCTCATCTTTATTTTAGCTCTTTTTGAAATCTGACCCTTGACTATAGGTGAGTTTCTATAGGACAATACGAAAAACACTTTGAAATAACTACTCCTCTGCAACTCTAATAGATAATATAATGGAACACTTAAAAATATATTACGGCAATAAATTAAACTATAACAACTTCGATTCAAATCTTTTCGTTACAAAAAATTATTTAATTGATTTAGTGCTAGAATAGACATTATACCTGCAATGACCATCTCAAGCAGTTTTTATGTGACTTTTCAAATACGTATCTTTCTTACTTTTAATCATAGTAGAATACAATCTATTTCTAACTAAAAATGGTATAACTCTGATTTTATTATATCATTGATATTATTCTATTGTTATGCATTCTTTTCTGTACAATTTGTAAAATCTGTACAACCTGTACAATCTGTACAATCTGTACAATCTGTACAATCTGTACAATCTGTACAATCTGTACAACATCTAAAACACAATATGTCAACAGCTTATCCAGCCTACCATTAGATTGATAGAATAAGTGAGATCGGAAAGTCCAGCTGTGCTATCTAAGTCACAGAAAAAGGGGGTATAAAACGGCCGAGGCGCACTTAGGAAAGTACATGAATAATGTAAACACTCGTGCGTTTTTAGTTTTTGGATTAACACAAACATTGCAAAATATCCCAAATGACCACAATCATATTTGTAATTGTTTATGTAAACAGAAACGCACCTGTGAATTGAAGTATGATGTTAGTGAAGAGAATTATAGATCAAAAACCTAGAATACCCCCTCTTATCTGACCTCAATATGGCGGCGGGGACTTTCCGATATGGCTTATTCCCAAGTCTCTCCAACTCACTGGACAAGCAATGTTGCTTTCCACAACCTCTAGCGGGGGCACATTACATGGCGGCCACCATCTACAGTTATAGTTGCTCCAGTGATGAAGGAGGAATCACTAGATGCGAGGAAGGCTATGACACGCGCAACCTCTATCGGTTCTCCCGGTCGACCGAGCGCGTGCGTCTCCTTCGTACGCTCGAGAAACTGAAACCAACGTGTCGGACCTGACATGTATTAAAGGCCTGGAGAGAACCCCTTGTCAACAATCACTCACATACATTACACTGTCCCTCTAAAAACCATCACAGAGAAGTTGACTGAAACATTTATAATAACGTGACCGAGTTGAGTCGGTTGTAGAATTTGCTTAATGATCGCACTCCATAGTATCATCTATGGAAATATCAATTGGCTAATTAGAAAGACTAACCTTGGCATACGCTATGTCATCAAGGCCTCCTCTTCGCTGCAACTCTGTGACAATCACACCAGGACTAAAACAAACACATACTACGTTATCACATGTACCGTATATGACATGTGCAAAATCCTATAGTACGAAAAGTGTGAATAGGGATCTATTGAGTGGAACACGATATCTTCCACTACAGAATAACCAATAAAAATGCAATATTTTGGGGTCAAGAGGTCAATATTAACAAATCAACCAATGGAATACTAAGCTGACTGCATAAGTCCATAGCCTGTGCAGTATGTTCAACATGGAAACGGTAGCCCACAATCTAATATAATAATTGCACTTACAGAGTGGAATATGAGAAACAAACACGAGAACAGTTTAGCCCACACATGCAATAGAGATCTCATATACCCACTTGCTCTGCTTACATCAGGGTAACATTTCATTCACTTGTGTGATACAGTGGTCTCAGAACAAATAGTGATAGAAGGTCACATTCTCACTATTTCCACCACTCTTTCTAGTTTCTACCAGACTTCAACTCCATACATTCTCTTATTTAGGCTCTCATTGAATATGGCTTAATTACTTCCCTTGTTATGCATGCATATTGCATACTGTTAATTACGTTATTTATACTCACTTCACAGCATTAACCCTGACCTTCTTGGGTGCCAAATCTGCAATCGAGGAAAAAACGGTAACTATATCAGTGGCGGATCCAGAACTTCAAGGAAGGGGGTGGAAAAGATGCAGGGGGTATGGGCGGCCTCCCCCAGAAAATTTTGAAAATGTAGATAGCAGGAGATGGTGTTTAAGGTACTATTGAGTACATGTACAGTACAGCCTTCATTCTGACTACAACAATTCTCGTTTTAGTAGAACAATTCTTGTGCTTGCAGTGCGGCATTGATTGATGTACGGGGGGGGGGGCATTATTGAATATGTAGGCAGGGTTCACCAAGAGCACTTATAGCCTGGCGGCCCGCCAGGCTATCGTCGAGCCCCGCCATCCTAAAATGCACCCGCCACTCTAAATATCATAGCCGCCATGCTAAATATCATAGCCCCCGGACCCCCCTAGCACGCAAACCGCCTTCGGCGATTTGCAACTAGGACCATAAAGGCAGCACCCGCCATGCTATAATGAAAAACCTTGGAGAACCCTGGTAGGGGGTGACCATCGCTGGGATGAGGGCGACAGCCAAAACTATTTCTTGGAATTGTGCAAAAAGCTGCAAACGGGTTATAACCTGCTTTGCCACTCAATTACATAATTTAACCTATGCATCAGGTGCCGTTTTGTACAGCCGCGCGACTATTATACTTGGCAATAATTAATTGGTATATGTGTAAAAATATTATTAGTCCAACAGAGGGGGTGGCTAGCCACCCAATCCAACCCCCCCCCCCCCCCCCCCTGGAATCCACCACTGTTATATCTGTTTGACAAAATTCTTTGGGTTAGTTAAGCAATTTTGACCTTATCCTTAGAGATTGTTAAATGTGTGGCTTTTTAACTTTAATGGCAATTAAACTAATTATATCAATTTATAATAAAAAAAAATGCATTATTAGTGTCAATAAAATGTGGGGGTTTCCTTGCAAATTTGCTAATAATATTTATTGACATTTAATGAAAAGGAAGGAAACAACTTACAAGTTCCCAATATTATAGTCTTTGTGTTTCTATATAGAAATAAACTGTTTGGCTTAAAACCAATCATACCTAGTGCAGCACAGCGTGTTAGATGTGGTCCACGGCAGCTTTGCTCCACATTATAGGCAAGAAGATTTGGAAACTAGAATGCAAAATCTTAAAACAACATTGCATTCAATTACTCCATAGACTGGGTCTACAAAAGAATCCTCTACTAATATTTCAATAGGATACTAATTCTAAATCTGCTTCATCTCTGTCTACTACTATTATTCTATTTTATGGCTACTGAATTATGATTTGTCAATATAGTATATATGTACATACCTATACATTACACAGATAGTATCATAAGTATAGATAATGCTAATGATCAGCACAGGAGTGAATTAAATAGATATATTATTAATTCACTCCTGAATAGGAACTGTATAGTACTAACGGCCATGGAATTATGAAGCAGTTATATCATTGGAATAGCAGGATTTTAGACTTACTTCACCAGCTCGCATGCCATTTACACTGAATACGTCTGACGACATGAGCCCTTCAGTCCTTCACCAAGGTGTGGCACAGCCAATGTCATTAGCTAGTACATACCGACCTAGACACCCAATTAAGTTTGATTACATTATATATGATTCGATATAGAAATTTGTTGTATGATAGTAGAATTCAAGTAAATATTTTCAAAAGAACTGGCAAAAATTAAAAAGATGTCACCGCAATACGAGAAAAGCATTAAATATTAAGGTAGCCAGAAAGTTATATCATTAATAGTTGTAAGTGCACACGCGTTTAACTGATAGACTCGTATTTTAGCCCATGCTCATCATCAGTAATAACAGTGATTTAAGCATTGACAGGTCAAACATTGGCATATTTATTGTTTAGAGGAATTAAAATAGCACATAGCCTCACCTGACATTAGTTTTTGTACAACAATCCCAATCGTGCTAAACTAAGCTGGAGACTTGCTCTAATTGCCACCCAACTTGGCAAGAACATTCCAGGCGTTGTTTTCAGCTATACACATCCAACCTGACCAAAATTTCTCGATAGTTTTCCTCCATAAAATATTGGCAGACGTCCGCCTCCTTTTAAAGATCTCCAGTAAGGAAGGAAAGGCTGTAAAAGAAAAAGCTACATTCGTGCTTAACATGGCTGGTTTAATAAATTTTATAATAATACATCAAATTCACTGATATATGATATAGTACATTATAATAGATTCGCAGCAATTCAGGCTACCTATCGAAAATGTCAGCATATATGCTGGAGATTTCGGCGGGTGTATAACGTACAGCGAGTAGTAGACTAGATCGGTGAATGGGACAGACCGAACTCACCGTATAGATATAATAACCAATATAATCACTAAAGGCAGGATAAAATTATAGACAGCGTGGTAAACATTGGGGTTTGTCTATATTCAGGCCCCCGGTACAGGAAATAATTTGCAATATTTTAATCACGTGGTACTGTGTTAGTAACAATCAGCTTGTAATCGCGTGTCGTGACGTCACTTCCAGCTGTGAAGAAGATGGTGAAGAGGAGGAAGGGGAGAAAGGGAGAAGGTGGTGGACGCAGGAGGGGAGAAGCTGGTGACGAAAGGAGAAGTGTTTTTTGGGAGAAGGGAGAACGGTTGTGCCCCAGGTGAGAAGAGGAGGGAGAAGCTGGTGTGAGAGGAGGAGGGGAGAAGAGGAGGAAAGTGGGTGCCGCGCGAGGAGGGGGAGAAGGCTAGTGGGAGAAAGGAGGGAGAACTGGGAGTAAGACGGGAAGGGAAAGGAAAAGTTGGTGGAGAAGGAGAGGGGAGAAGCTGGTGGAAAGGAGGAGGGGCAGAAAGCTGGTGGATGAATGAAGAAGGGAAGAAGGAGAAAGCTCGGTGAGCGAAGGATGAGTGGTGGAAGAAAAAGGGTGGGGTGGGTTTTCGGAATAAGTGGTGGTGAGAAGGTGCGAAGGCTGTTGGCAGGGAGAAAGGGCACCTCCCCTTCGCACCTCCACCACCTCCGTCCTTCTCTACCACCCCTCCCCAGCTTCTCCCCTCCTCCTTCTCCACCAGCTCTCCTCCTCCTCTTCTCCACCAGCATTTCTCCCCCTCCTCCACCACCTTCTCCCTCTCCCCTTCCTTCTTCTCCACGCAGCTCTGCCAGCCTCCTATTCCTCCACCGCGATTTACATCTGATTGCGTTATAACACAAACCACTGACAAAATAATGCAAATTAATCTCCTGTACCGCCCTGAATATAAGACAAACTCCGTAAAAACGATTGGGCTGGGCGGCCGCAAGCTGTTACTGCTGCTGCTGCCGCCTGTCGGGCGAGAACAAGGAATAGCGTAGCATGGGTTACGCAATCTCATCAGTGCGCACGAACGCGGTTTGCCAGCAACTGAGTGCCTAACGCGCAGTGAGTCATCGGGTACTGCAGGTACGGATTGCACAACGCCGTAGGGGGGGCGGTTGTTGCCAAGCTAGTATATATGTTATAGGCCACAGATCGCAGCTAGAGGCAGTTATTTTCTCAGGCTAGGTAGGAGTAAGAAGAAGAAAAGGAGAAGAAGACAGCCCGAGGACAGAAGAGAAAGAGGAAAGAGCAGTTTATTTTAAGGTACTACGGTACGGAGGAAGTAAGAAGAAGAAGAGGACGAATACGAAGGATAAGAGGGAGAGAGAAGCTAGTCAACGGGAAGAGAATAGAGGAGAGGTTATTTCAAGGATAGGTTATAGTGGAAGAACGGAAGAGGGAGGAAGAAACAGAGAAGAAAGATAGAAGCACAGGTTTTCAGTAGGTGTGTAAACGCAGAGCCGAACGGGAGAGGGAAATAAAACGGGCGAAGAATCGGCATCTACGTAGAGCTAGAGCGACTGCTGAGGGAGATACCTGGAGACACTGTTTGAATTGCCTACGCAGGCAAAGGACGAGCGTGAAGGAACAAGACGAAGGCTCGCGAAGCGCGTAAATATTAGACAGATCGATAGGAACAGTCCGCTGCGTATACGAATGCAGGGGGAATCATTCTGTAACCCAACTAGTAACACGCAAGTAAAAGGCTATATAACCGTATCGTTAACCGAAATCTCACCGTGTTCTGTTTTTACTTGGTGCTATCTGCTATCTGCTACGTGTCATCGCCGTCCTGCCGATAACACCGACAAGGCGGACTCTGAATGTCCACCTACGGACACAAGCGTTACGAACTAACGTCTTCGAATCCGTAGTCGCCACGCCTATGGCACTACAATATACTACAGCATTTACTACATTTGCTTTTATTTACCTGTCCTTATTGTTGACGTTTGCAAGCAATCGATTCTTTGTTTTATTGAGAATTGTCCATCGTTTCGAGGCCTGTCAGCTGGACAACCTCAACTGCCGTGTTGGCAATAATATAAGCAGTGCATGCGCGATTGCCAGAATCTTGCACGCTAAATAATAAGTGTGAAAACCTTCATATAGGCTCGATGCGAGTGCTAGTATATTCACAACGCCCGTTTGATAAAACCAAATATTAAAATGCTGGCGGTTTATGAAGCTAGCTAGAGAGTAATCGGTGGGGCACGAATGACGCGGCTCTTGCCCTGCGACGGAGCGATAGTTGCTATAGTACTACGAGGTAGAGCTAGCAAAAGCTTTAGCCCTAACCAGGCTGTTGCGACGGATTGTCTAATACAATCGCGTATTGTAACGGGTATGTGTAAGCCGGCAAATGCAGGAAGCGTAAACTCCAGCTTTGCTAAATCTGAGGGTGCGGTTTTGCCGGCATTACTGGGGTCATGCGCTCGGCTCGGCGTCGACTACGGGTAATTGTAACCCTAGCAATACGCGTTTCTTGAGCTAAGCAAAGCTTGAACTTCACACTGTTTGACCTGTATGATTATTTAGAACCCAGTAGTCGTAACTTAGTACTCGTAGTCGTATGCCGCATTTTTGTTTTCAAATGTTACCTGTGATGAGGGCTACATTTTGCCAGCTAACTTGCCAATGGTGAGACTCGTGTTGACTGTTGTTCTTCTGGGT